TGTCAATGAATATTCATAACCAATTAAAAATAAATAAATAAATAAAATTTTAAAAATAATGAATAAAATGCAAAAAAAAATTAAAAATAAAAATCTCAGTTCAGGAGCTAAATTCTTATCAGACATTCTTAAGCTACTTTTGAATTTCGTAAAACTTACAAGAGTATTTGCACATACCTAAATTGTTCCAAATATATTTAAACGTTTTTGAGTAACTTAGTTGACTATCAATAAATCATTTTTCTTTATTTAAAAAATAATAAATAAAGTATTACTATTTCACTATTGGAGCTAGCCATTACTAAGCCATGGAAACTGTACAAATATTTTAATGCATTAACTTCATATAATTCTCATGACAACCCTACGAGGTAACTATCCTCGTCAGGTCATTTTTATAGATGAGGAAACAGGTTAAATGACTTGCCCACGGTGACACAGCTAAAAAGTGACAGCAGGGATTCTAATCTGGGCCTCTCTAACTCCAGGGATGTGCAGGGTCCTCCAATTCATGCTACACTCAGCTGACAGAGTGAGGGTTTGAAGATGCAAATTGATCGTATCACACCCCAGCTCAGAAGTTTCCATTAAGATTTGAATGGAAATATTTATCAAAGAATTAAGATGGATTGAGAAACAGAAAAAACAGACAATTGGATAGATGGATAGTTATGTGATGAAGCAAATCATAGTAAAAATCATAGTAAAATGTTAATTGGGGAGTCTAGATGGTAGCTATATGGATGCTTGTTGCATAATTCGTTCCACTTTTCTCGCCATATATATAATATATATATGTATATTTTATATATATATATATTTATTTATTTATTTATTTTTTAGTGGCTGGCCAGTATGGGGATCTGAACCCCTGACCTTGGTGTTATAACACCATACTCTAACCAACTGAGCTAACTGGACAGCACTCTTTCTACTTTTCTTTATGTTTGAACATTTTCATGTAAAATATTGGGAGGGAAGTACCTTAATTGAAAAAAAGTACTTTTCTTTATGTTTGAACATTTTCATGTAAAATATTGGGAGGGAAGTACCTTAATTGAAAAAAAGTAAATGAAGTTAAATCACTTTTTACATGTGGACCCTGATCGACTTGTATTTGTAAGTCTGTAAGAATCTGTGGAGTAATAGAAGACTGGCTGCCTCCTCCTGGTAAACAGGTTTTTATGTACTTAGAGACTTCTTGTGCCTGCTATCCCAGGGCATCCTAGACTCTCCAGTATTGGAAAGAATATTTAGATTGTGTAATTAAAGCACTTTTTTTTTTTTTTTTTTTTTTTTTTTTTTTTTTTTTTTTGGTGGCTGGCCAGTATAGGGATCCAAACCCTTGACCTTGGTGTTATATAACACTGCACTCTAACCAACTGATAAAACACTTCTAAGAGAGAAAAATCACTTCTGAGGGAAGAAAGTTGAACTACGTGTCAAAAGGTTTGAGGCAAACGATAATCATTACATACTATATACTAGCCCAGGTTGTTTGAGACCACAAGAAGGGTTTCGTATGTAACCCGTTTCTTGCTTTTTCCTGTACGAATTCACTGAGTCCCAAATAATGTATTTTACATGCACAAATACTTATTTTATTATAAAAAGGATTCTGGCTTTCAGTAAGGATTTTTTTCCTTTCTTTGGTCCAATGCCCAGTTTGGAGTATATTTGGCATTTAATATAAGTGATTCTAAAAGCAAATAAAAGAAAGGTATCACACCAATGTGCTATTTGTTTTCAAGAAGGATTCATTTTGTGTCATTAATTACACCTTCAGCTGATGGTTGATTTCTTTCTTTTCTTATTTATTTATTTATTTATTTTGCACCTGGCTGGTACAGGATCCAAACCCTTGACCTCAGTGTTGTGACACTGTGCACTAAACAACTGAGCTAACCAGCCAGCCCTGATGGTTTTCAAGGTACTTTTGCAGGCAGGCAGAACATGCTGATATTATTCATTGACTTGTTTGTTCCCTTCCAGAAACCTCCAGAGCAGAATGTTAGGTAACTTGAGGGGAGAAGGGGGAGCCAAAGTTGCTGCAGAGGTGTTTGCTGAAACTTAGGCTCAATTGGCTAATATAGCACATGTGAAAAGACAGGATGTTCTTGCTTCTTTGGGAACCTTGGTCATTCCACTCCTTTCAGAAGCAATCAGCTGATATCTTGGCTCACTCTTTGCCTGAGCGAATATTCACAACAGCATGTGACCGGGTGTCCTGAAACACAGACCTCGCCAGGCCTCACTGTTGATTTGTTTTTATCTACCTCCTATCTTTGCTTAATCAGGTGCTAGCTTAGGCTGCTGCACTGAGACTGTGCGGACACAGTAGGCTAGGACTTTAAGCTGGATTCCTCCTAACTCGGCTGCTTTCTAGATTTGTTTCCTTGGGGAAGCTACTTTTTTCTCTGTGTCTGGGTCTCACTGTCAATGAGGGTAGTAATAATAGTATTACCTGCCTCATAGGATTACTGCAGATAAAGCTCTTAGCACAATGCCTGGCATCTAAGAAGCACTCAGAAAATATGAACTACCCTTATTATGCAGCTCATGTTATTCTGAAATGGCTTTCTTCATTCAAGCATACGTCTTTGAGATCTTTTAAGTTCTGTCATCTTGATAGCTGCATAGTATTTCATAATTCGGAATATTGCCTCCTCCCCAACCTATTTCTTCTCCTGACTTCTCTCTCTCTCTCTCTTTTTTTTTTTTTTTTTTTTTTTTTTTTAAAGATGACGGGTAAGGGGATCTTAACCCTTGGCTTGGTGTTGTCAGCACCAAGCTCAGCCAGTGAGCGAACCGGCCATCCCTATATGGGATCCAAACCCGGGGCCTTGGTGTTATCAGCACCGCACTCTCCCAAGTGAGCCACGGGCCGGCCCTCTCTCTCTTTTTTTTTTAAAAAAAACACAAGCTCTGGCAAGTTTTATTAAAGAAAGATTTTGCATGGCTTACTTTTCACTAGTGCGTTCTGGCATGCTTCTAATGATATCAGAATCACCTGGATCAATGGTAGCCAGGGTGCATACTCTGTAGTATTTCCCACATGCTGTGCCCAACTCAGTATTATTGCCATTGTAGTGATGGACTCCAGTTTTGGCTAACATGGCATAGTACTCTATTTCAGATTTCCTCAGAGCTGGGCAGTTGTTGACGAGAACGACCAATTTCACTTTTCCTTGGCTGATCATCTTCAGAGTCTGCTTGTACCCCAGCATGTACTTTCCGCTTTTCATAACAAGCTGTAGTCTAGAGTTGATCAACTACAGTGACTTTTTCATCTTCTTTGCAGCCACCATCTTCCTGCCTTAGGTGCAGGATGGTCCCCAACCAATAGAAGCTGCCAAGATGGCCCGGGCCTCTCCTGACTTCTCTAACTCAGTTAATAATACAGCCCACCAAAACTCTCTCTGCTTGTTGACTTTGAACTCCTCTTTAACAACTTCCTCCATTCAGTTATTAATTTCTACTCTTATTTTAGTTCCTAAATAGATTCTTAATCTCTCCCCTACTTTTGATCCCTAGGACACTGACCTAGTTCATAAGCTCTTTCTCTCTCACCTAGACCACTGCAGATGAATGAATTCTTGTTGTTCATGAGATTGCCTGCCACTGGGCTTAATCCCTGAAAATCCACCTGCTATCCTGCCACCAAATCTGCAAATCTGACCGTGTAATTTTTCTGCATGGTGCACGGTGGCCCGTGGCATTCCTGACCCCTGGTACTGGCCATCACGAGTTTTACTGATGACGGCAACTTATGAGACTGAGAAGCAGAGGATCCAGGATTTCCCTAGGCCTGTAGTTATTTTGTGGAGAGGTGAGCAAGCCTGGATGTGCAGAAAGAGCCTTTTAGCAGAGGATTCAGCGCCCCACTGGTAGACATAGACCCAGGAGGGATAGGAAACACCTAGTTTTAAACAAGAAATGTCTAAACACTGAATCTAGTGAGCCACCTTCTAGGTCTCCAGAGCTCAGCTAAAGAGTTTTTGTATCCAAGTTGCTGACAGCCTGCAAGCCTTGCTCTCCCTCCCAGAGCAGGTGCAGGAGAAGGAGGGATTGGCCATCCAGCTGAGACCACAGGGTTTGTCCCTCCACAGTTACTTAGTGTGTAATCAATCCTTGACCTTCACTTTAAACTCCTGACATTCCATTCCTCTTGTGGTTGCTCAAGCTGGTTCTTCTCAAGTTCAGGCTTTCCTCTGGCCATGGCTGACCTGCCCACGCTTGGGGATAACCTTCTCCAGAAAGCCTACTGCACCTCTCTGGGCTCTTCTTTGACTTGACTCTCTGTGTTAATATGATATGTCTCTGTGTTTGGATCACTCCAGACAATGAAGGAAGGGCACATGACATTCACCTTTTTGTCCCTAGGCCTGGCACCAGGCCTGGCATGTTAAATAATTGACAGAATGCATGTTTGAGTAGGCCAGAGAGGAAAATGCAAATCACCTGTAATCACACTACCCTGATAACCACCAAAATTAATTTGGGACATACCCTTCCAGACATTTTTTCCCTAGCTTTTTGTCTCTGTATTTTATACACACACATTTCCTACACACAATATTTTATTTTATAAAATCTGGATCAAACCCTGCCTATTGTTTTAAAACCTTTTTACATTTAACATATGATGAATATTTCCCCTTGTATTCTTGTAGCGCTTGGATGGTAGTACTACACAGTATTTCACTGGGGTGGGGCAGAGTGTGCTATGATTGAACCTTTCCCTTTTCAGACATGCACTTTATTTTCCAGCTGCAATTGTTAATGCTTTCTTTCTGCTGAGAGTATTTCTTTCTCATGATGAAGAAAACACAGTAGATGAATACTGGGTTTGAAGTAAAGATAAGGAAGACCATTAATAATAGGAAAATAAATTATTCTGGTTTTACTGTTGTTCGATCTTTAAGATTCTTCGAGCTCTAATGGAAGCTTTTGCTATGCAGTGTCTTATGTATTGAATAGTTATATTTTTTCTGTGGCAGGTCTATGGCAGCCGAGGAAGCCACTCCAGGCAGCCAGGAAGAAGAGGACAGCGCTTTGGACCTGCCATCCATGTGTGATATAAGAGATTATGTGCTGCAGAGACCCAGCCCAGAGGCCAACAGCGAGGCTCTCAGTTCTGGAGAATTCCATTCTTTTCCTTGCTCTTCTGATGTGGATCCAGGTAATAAGCAGAATTTAAAACAAACTAACATTAAAAAAAACCCAAAACAACAACTAGCAGATGTCTAGGTGTGTGGTAGTTTCTCTCTCGTCCAAAAGCAGATCTCCAAGGAATGATTACATTGCATTAGGTAGAAAAACATCTTACCTAAGCGAAGCTGTGGGGAGGGACTTCAAAGGACAGCCTCCTTGGTGTAACAGTAATAAGGAGCTGTTTCCTGGAGATCTTTTTTATCTTAGGTTCCTTTCTGATCTACATCCAAATGCATTCAGAGGCAGGGGAACACTTGGTTCAACAAGGAGTGGAATTCTTTTCTGTTTTGTTGTTTAAAAAGTTCAGAAAATAGCAATGTGGGCCTGTTATGTATTATGAATAGTAATAATGGAGACTTCCTCATTAGAATATTCTTCTTATGAAGTATACTCTGAATTTAAGTAACGACTTTTCTTCAAGTTTTCCTGACTGAATTGCCAAAGAGTCTATTATTTAAGCCTAATAGATAATTCCCTGATATGGGTAATGACCATCTCTGGGTGCAAAGCCCATCTCTTTCCCATTCATTACCCAGTCCAGGTCTGGAGGGACTTCCAGACCTGGATTCAAAGTTCAGCTCTGCTACTCACTGGCTTTGTGACTTGGGGCATGTTTCTTAGCCCCTCTGAGCTCCGGAGTCATCTACAAAATGGCAATTGGGGCTGGCCGGTTAGCTCAGTTGGTTATATTGCAGCCTTGTAACACCAAGGTTAAGGGTTTGGTTCCCCATACTGGCCAGCCACCTAAAAAAAAAAAAATGGTGACTGGAATGCTTGCCTCATGGAGTAGATTTAACTCAGGGAACAATGTAAAGTACTTACCATGGTGTTTGCCATATGTGGGTGCTCAGTCCGTGTTGTTGTTGTTATTAATATTAAGAAATCCAAATATACATTTTTAAAGATAAATCATTGGACACTAAGAAAATGTAGGCTTCAGTGATGATGAATTCAGTGACAGCAGTAGTTAGGGCGTGTACCTGTCACTGTCTTCAAGTATTCTATGAAAAAAATACTTTAAAACTCCTTTGTGATTCTGTTCTGATTTTTAGGACATAGAATAATCAGGACAGTAAGCCTCCTGTTTAATTTAGTTCCTGACCAGGAATTAGGTCCTTCCATATCCTTTTTCTTTACAGACTTAACATCTTAGTTCTTTTAACCTTCTCTCATTTTTAGGACATAGAATAATCAGGACAGTAAGCCTCCTGTTTAATTTAGTTCCTGACCAGGAATTAGGTCCTTCCATATCCTTTTTCTTTACAGACTTAACATCTTAGTTCTTTTAACCTTCTCTCTTCTTCCTTCTATTCTACTGCCTGGACATTGCTTTCCATCCCCCCAAAATGATTTTGTTCATCAGCTCTGGTTGTTGACAGCATTTCCTGGAATGAGTGAATGGATTCATTTGAACAGAACCTTAGAAGTCTTGGTCTGTTAAACTACTTTGGGGCGATGGCTCTATTTTTATAGAGAATTCAGTGTGGATCCAGTTTTTATTTTTTATTGCCTGCTGGCTGAATAATCCATAGGAAAGTAACTGTTAACAATTGGAATTTGGTTGATTCAAAAAATGAGAAGCATGTTGAACTATTTATGTTGGAGTATTTGTTAAAAATCTAGACATTTCATGCCAAGAGGGTTCTTTTGGAAACCCTTATAAAGTTCTAAACATGGAGGGCTGGTTAGAGCGTGGTGTTGGTAACACCAAGGTCAAGGATTCGGATTCCCATACTGGCCAGCCACTGGAAAAAATAAATAAATAAAGATCTAAACATGGGAAGAAGTACTCAAATGCTAAGACAACCATTTTATGCGGTATTGGTGATGGTTGTGCTGAGTCAGACTATCTGGTTTGATTCTGGTTCTGCTTTTCCTGTTGTGGTTTGACCTCTGGTAAGGCACTTGGCTGCCCTGTGCTGGTTTTGTCTTTGGTAAAATGAAGATAATAACATCCACTCATGAAGGGTGGTCATAGGATGTATGAGGTAACACCTGAGGCACAGTGCCTGAAACCCAGCTCTTCATCAGCTGGCTGTTCAACACACCACTACGCTGTCTCAGGCAGCTCAGGCTGCTGTAACAAATACTGTGTTCTGCGTGGCTTGAATAACAAACATTTATTTCTCACAGTTCTGGAGGCTGGGAAGTCCATGATCAAAGTGCTGCCAGATTCAGTGTCTGGTGAGGGGCCCCTTTCTTATTTGTAGACAGCTGCCTTCTTGCTGTATTCACACATGGCTGGGAGAGATCTTCTCTCTTGTGTCTTTTCTAAGGGCACTGATCCCATCATGACCTGATTACCTCAAGACCTGATTATTTCCCAAAGGTTCCACCTCCAAATGCCATCACATGGGGAATTAGGGCTTTAATATATGAACTTGAGGTTGAGGGGGCAAACACAGACATCCAGTCCATAGCACATGCTGACCAGACTCATTTAAATTCATGATCTCCCACCTCAAGTGGATCCTTTGTGCTGCCCCTCCATCACATACTGTTTTCCTAGTGTGCGCCCTCTCCCACGCTCCCAGATGATTGTTTCGTATCTTCTCCTCTCTCTGCAAGCCTCTATTACCTCCTCCTTCAACCTCTCCCAGTTGATGACCATGTTTCTTTCATCAAGAAAGCAGAAGCAATCGAAGAGAGTGTTCACATTCTCCATTCCATATGCACGTACGTCCTTCCCCCTGTTCCTGTGGAAGACCCATTCCTGTCCTATCCTCTGCTTCCACACTAGATCTCTGGCAATCTCCTCCTCATCAGTCCCTGTTCTGCTGATCATTCACATGATCATACAAACATGCTCCCATCTTCAAAAAAATACCCACCCTTGACCCCAGATCTCCCTCTAGTTATAGTCCTGTTTTTCCTGTTCTCTTATACAGGAAAGATGTTATCTGATTCTGCTGTCTCCAATTCCTCTCTTCTCAATTCCTCCTAAAACCCTCCAACCTGGCTTCTATCCCATGGAAATAGCTCTTGTTAAGGTCCCAGTGACCTCCACATTGTTAAATACAAAGGTCACTTCTCAAACCCTATCCTTCTTGATCTATCAGCAGCATTTACACAGTTTACTTTTTCCTTCTTGAATCCTTTGTTCTCTGGGCTTCTTGGAAGCAGCCCCTCATGGTTCTCTCCTTACTTTACTGGCTATTTGTTCTCAGTGTCCTTTGCTGCTCCTTCTTATCGCTCCAACCTTTTAATGTTGGAAACCCCAGGGCCAAGTCCTCAAATCTCTTTTTGTTATCACTCACTCCCTGAGTCTGTGACCTTTAAGGTCAAAGTCTGGTGGCTTCAGATGCGCTTAGTACTCTGCTCAGTTCCAAATTTCTACCTCCAGTGTGGCCTGACATTTAGTCCATCTGTATGTTGACATCGTCACTTGATTTATCCTAGACTTTTTTTTTTTTTGGTGCCTGGGTGGTACAGGTATATTAAACTTATTAAACCCAACATATTCTAAAAAAAAAATTCATAGTTCTTCTACCTCCTCCCCAACCTTCCCCCATCTGTTCTTTGAGGCTTTCCCATCTCAAAAAAGCATTTCTATCCTTCTGTTCACTTAGCAAAAATCTAGGAGTTGTCCTCAATTTCTCTCTTTCTCTTAAACCTCACATCCAGCTCCTCAGCAAATCTTGTCAACTCTACTATTAGAATAAATCTGGACTCTAAACAGTCTTTGCCATTTCCACTACCACCACCCTGGTCCAAGCCACTATCATCTCTCTTCTGGATTATTATTACAATCTCCTAATTAGCTTTTCCACATCTGCCCTTATCCCCCGACAGGCTCTTCTCAACGCAGCAACCAGAAGGATCCTTTTAGAATATAAATCAGATCATGTTACTCCTCAGAACAAACCCACTGTGGCTTCTCATCTGACTCAGAGCAAAAGCCTAAGTGCTTACTGAGGTGTCCATAATCTCTGGGCTCTGCACCCTGCTGCTTCTCTGACCTCATCTCCTGGCATTCTCCCCTCCCTTGCTGGACTCCAGCCCCACCAGGCTCCTAGCTGTGCCTCTGCCACGCCAGGTGTCCTCTACTGCCCAGCACACCCATCCTTCAGGGAGGCCCACCTTTGCCTCCTGCTGACACTCCTTAGTCATGTCCTTCCTGACTTTATTCTTCTCCATAGCACTTAGCTCCTTAGGCTCCTGACATATTTGATTGTTAATTTATTCGTTTGTCTCCTCCCACTAGAAAGTGAATTCCCGTATAGCAAGTACTCACTATATGAATGAATGAATGAGTGAATGTTAACTGCTGTTTTATTTCATTAAGAGATACTCCTGTACGGATTTAGGGCTGAAGTTGATAACAACATAGCAAGTCTCCATTCTCCCCACGCCCCCCTTACCTAGCTTTAGGCTGGTATGGGTAACTTTGAGATGTTCCGTGTGAAAGCAGTGGGAGTCATAGGCAGCACTGAATTAGGTGAAGCCCAAATTTAGCTCCTTAGCATGATCAGTGTTGGAAGAGGAATTGTCAGATTTGCTCTGCTCCCCAGAAGGAAAGTCAAAATGTGTGACTGAAGGAGACATGGCAGAACCATCAATCGTTTAATGTGTACAACGCAAGTCATAAACAGTTCTGCAGTGGTATAAACTCTGTACCATTTCTGTCGAGTTAGAAAACTTATGTAACATGCACCACACAAACAGGAGCTCTGTGCCTGTGCCATTTGATGTCCCAGTACTTCTCACTTTCTCTCCTCCTTCTCCCTATTTCTCAGGTGACCAGTGCTTTCATGTGTCTCCTACCAAAATCTCTCAAAAACCAATCTGGGACTTACTCAGACTAAAATACAAATGAATGACCGTAGCTTCAAATGTTAGCTTTTCTAGGCAGGTGTTCTTTTAAAAGTACCTAGCCTTCACCTACAAGAATGGTGAAATTTCAGGAGTTAGTGGGCAAGTAGAAGAGAAATTTTGGGGCATATGCCTCTTTGGTGTCCCAGAAATGCA